ATAACCAATCAGATTCAAGAATTTTTTTATGACCAACTTATTGTTTATGCACTTATCAACTGAAATCCCCCCTCCCCCACCCCCAGGACAGGGTGGGGATTTGACTTCATGTCGACTACAATGGTGATTAACCCCCATGAGGGGGCACTTAAACTTTTAAAGCCCCCACCTACAGTCCTGTAGGAGAAAAATAAAACATGGCAAATCTTGAGAAATCCCCACCCCCAACGGCAAAACATGCTGTCAAATTTTATCAAACACCCTTTGTTCCCGCACCTTGGCCCGGGGGTGGGGGGTCGGCTTTCGGTTGATAAGTGCATAATTATTTTGTTGCTTCATAATTATCTTACCTCCAGCACCAAACATTTTGTCTGATTTAAAACAAGAGAATTTTGTTGTTGTTTCCAGTTCATATTGTCTTATTACAGTCATGGCTTCCTCAACTGAGCCAACATAGCCAACAAACTTGTTCGTTGATCCTCTTAACTTCGCTTGCCAAGTACATACAGTAGCACTGTCTTTCTCACTTTCTAAATATATGCCTTCAGCTGTGCTGCAACCTTCTTGGGCATTTGCCGGCAAAGCCATAACAAACGACTTGTGCTGAGTACTATAAACCGAGCAGTCAACTTCCAGATCTCATATACGCGGAAACTTTATTATTTTCCTTTCGAAAATGCCCGCCCTACAACAATGCTTAGCGGGAAAATCTTCGGAATTCCGAGACAGGTTTTCGGTACATTATCGTCAATTTTCGTGCGCGTTCGCCTGTTATTGAACGTCAGTTTCATGGATGGAAAGATGCGCTATCTGTCACGCCATCCATCAAAGTGACGTTCTCCACTGTGGCAAGCTTTAAGGGTATAAAATAGCTTTACCCTTGTCCAATTTACCCTAAGTTTTCAAAGGTTTATTGAAAAAAATCAGGACCCTGCTTTATGTGCACAGAAAAACACAAATAATCTGCTGGACACACGTAGACCCACAAAAGATCATCCGCCATATTAGTTTTTACGATAGAAAGCCGGCGCGTAAACCGAAGATGTTCACCGGAGATCAGATGACGTCACGTCAGTTTGGCGGATGGAAACAAGTGACGACCGCTGAACAGAGCCAAATTTTCCCCAAACCAGGAGTGAGCCGTTTTTAACTCGGTCAAGGATAGTGGAACTAATAAACTCCTCGAAATCAAGACAACATTTGCTATTAGGAAAAGACGCCGCTGGGGGAGTAGGAATATTATAAAATTTCCCCTGGAAGTCGCCTTTGGAGGGGACGAAAAAATTGGAAATGTTGACCCCGCGGACGATGTAGGATAAAATCTCATCTTTCTTTGGGTGTTCTGACAGAATGAACTTCCAGTAAGACTGGTGCCGACTCAGTTCCCCAGCCACAAAACTACTGGGATCTCGGAAAATAACATCTTGAGGAGTGGCATGAGCAATTTCCTTGGAAACCATGTAGGGCGAGGGGTTCGGGCCTGCAACGCGAGGCTTTTCCCTTTCCAATTGCACCACTGAACAAAATTTGAGGAGACTTCGTCCGGGCGAAAATCATAACGAGGTTTCTTGCACAGTGGCGCCTAAAACAAAAAGGACAACGAAAAAAGCGCCAATGAAACATGATATGGAAAAGGGGAAAAGCCAACCGCGAAGCAGCCCCGAAATACCCCGTCCAGGGACAGAGCAATTAAGGGTATAAGAAGACCCCTTCGAAGGCATACCACCGGTTAGCTTACAAAGAAAAAGACAAGCGAAACAAACACAAAGTAATAGACAAAGCAAACTTTATTGTGGCGTGAACTTCATTACAGAAGAACACAGAGATAAGTAACAAGGCAAACGATCAAAGGCACCGAAACTCCAATATGTAGCAAAGAAACGTCATTTTTTAACAGCTTTGGAGACTAATGGGCAATTCCTAGCAAAATGACCAACTCTTCTGCAATTAAAACAGCGTCGGGGAAAGGTTCCCGGCCGGTAGTACTGTGGCCTGAAACGTCCACCGCGACCAAATGAACCTCCAAGATAGGGGCATGGACGCGGGACGACGGAATTGTCTCCCTAAAAATCAAAGGCCTGTCCTGGACCTGAACTTCTAGGAGAGGAGTGACCTTTAAAAATCTTTCGGATCTGGGAAGCCACATCTTTTTCCTCCTTATCCCCGAGGATTTGCAGTACCACTTTAGCAAATGAGTTGGAGTTTGCAAGGGGGCGACACTGTTTAAAAATAGCATCAAACTTCTTGCGTTGAGTGTGTTTCGCCTCCCTAGCGTGGTCTGACAGTTGCTCCAAGGCCGCAAGGAGGGTGAAAGGATCGAGCAGCGCGGCAGTACGAGAGGCGAGGAGCCTAACTGATTCCAAGGACTGATTTACTTTGGAAACGTTAAGGGCCGATTGCAAAGACTCTACTATTTGGCGAAGGTTCTCATAACCCTACGAAGGGATAGAGAAAAAATGAGAAAATAGTGAAAACTCCACACGCAGGTGAAACATCTTGTCACATAGACGCGAAGACCAAACTTGTCACACAGACGCAAAAACTAAACTCGTAACGGAAACTCGAAGATTAAACTTAAAACGGAGACGCAAAAACCAAGGCCGTCACACAGATGCGAAAAAACTAAACTTATAACAGGGACGCAAAAAACTAAACTCGTCGCACAAACGCGAAAAACAAGCTTGCCACGCAGAAGCGAAAACCAAATGACGACACACCGACGCGAAAGCCAACCCTGACACACAGACGAGAAAACTAAATTCGTCACACAGGCGCGAAAACTAAACTTGTAACCCGAACGAGAAAGCGAATCTTGTCACACAGACGAGAAAACTTAATTTGTCACACAGACAAGAAAACTAAATTCGTCACACAGACGACAAAACTCAATATGAAACACAGACGAGAAACTAAGTTTGTAACACACAGGAGAGAACAAAATTTGTACACAGACGCAAAAACTAAACTTGTCACACTGACGGTAAAACTAAATTTGTGACACAGACGGGAAAAACTAAACTTGTCACACAGACTTGTCGCACGGACGGGAAACCAAAGTTGACACAGACGCGGGAACTAAATTGGTCACACAGACGCGAAAACTAAACTTGTCACCCAGACGGAAAACTAAAGTTGTCACACAGACGCGAAAACTAAGGCTGTCACACAGACGCGAAACCCAAACTTGTAACACGGACGGAAAACTAAACTTGTCACAGACGCGAAAACTGAATATGTCAAACAGACTTGTCACACAGACGGGAAAACTTAAGTTGTCACACAGACGTGAAAACTAAATTTGTCACACAGACGGAAACTCAAGTTGTCACACAGACGCAAAAGCTAAATTATTTGTCACATAGACGCGAAAACTAAATTTGTCACACAGACTTGTCACACAGACGGAAAACAAAATTTGTCACACAGACGCGAAAATTAAATATGTCACACAGACTTGCCACACAGAAACTTAAGTTGTCACACCGACGGAAAACTAAGTTGAAACAAAGATGCGAAAACTAAATTGGTAACACAGACGCAAAAACTAAACTTGTCACACAGACGGAAAACTGTAAACTTGTACACAGATGCGAAAACTAAACTAGTACAAACGCGAAAACTAAAACTAATAACACAGAAGCGAGAACCAAGCTAAAAGACCAACAACGCCTAGCCCGAAAAACGCGCGAAGGAAAACGAATACACGGACAAGAGAAAACACTAACCTCCGGAGCCGCAGGTTGGGGCGCAGGAACCACGCTGTCGTTAGCGTTCTGTGCGTTGTTGTCACCGGCAGCGTCGGCTGGAGCCGGAGACGCGACAACTGGAGGGTCAACATCCGCTGCAACAGCCCCATCCGCAGGAACAACAGGGACTTGGTCCGACATGGAGAACGAAGAACGAAGAAAATCTTCGAAGATGGTGCAGCGATGACCGGGCAAGAGAAAGAAAAACGCCAAGCTAACGACTGGTGAACGTTTAACGAAAAGAGCATTAAACAGGCCAAAGCAGGCCTATTTATACAAAACCTGTGTGAAACAGAACACCCGGGAGAATACGAGCGCACGGGAATTTTTATCCTTGAATCTCGAAGAGATTTGGGGCGTTTGTACGAGATGGCCCCAGTGAGAATGGTAATGAAGTCACATACATTAGGTAAATGCTATGACATTCGAAAAAATACTAGGTAATAAAATCCACAATGGAAAACTGTGGATAGCTGGACCAGTGGACCAGTGGAATTTGTGCATTCAACTAATTTTATTGTAAAATTTGCTCCCATCGGAGATCTACACGTACATATTTTTAAGTTTATGTTTCAATGTCTGTGCAGTGCTACACGTACACTGGTATTTTCCGTGTGTCTATTGAAACTTGCTCCTCTTGTTCCAAATTTTAGTATAATTGACGGCGTTTTTAACATTTCATTTCTCTTTACCTGAGTGAGGCCGATAGGTAAGTACATAGAAAGTTTTGCATTACTAGTTTTCATTTTAACTTCAACGTCATTCTAAAAGATGAATTTTGCCTTTTTTTAGTTCTTGTTCTAGGTTTATCTGTTATTTGAAAGGTACGTAGGCGAATCTTTACAACTTACTTTAAATACTGCTTGTCTTTGCATCACCAATGACCGGTTTATAATTATTTAACTTGAATATGTCCTGGAAAACAGTTATTAGTGTTAATGCTGCTGGACATCTCATAGAACCGATATGAGTTGTTCTGAGTAAGAAGTGACAAATTCAAATACTATTTTGTCAGTCCCAAATCCAGGAAGCCGTAATTATCTTTCATTGTCGTATGGTCTTTTGACAGAAATGCAGAATGCGATGTTGTATTTTCTGTTATCTGGTTTACTTTTAAGAGTGGTTGTCAGAGAAAACGGGGCAAAATGTTAAAAATGTCAACGGAAGGGGGTCGACAGAATAAGTTCATACTAACATCATAGATAGGTCTGGTGGAGTAATGGACAAATATACCAAACATAGGTTCTTCAAGGCTCTTGTATTAGAAATACGAGCATCACTTTTTTCGACCACCTCGGACGCCATTTTTATAAGCAAATTTTCACCATTTTCTGAAACTCACAGAACCCTCCAAATTTAACGAGCGAAGTTTATTTTTGGTATGCGATACAACACATCACAGAACTACTTTCTAAAACCATAAGATTTGTTAAGTATCCACGGACAAGACTAAAATTTTCTTATTTTATCTGACCTAAACTCAGTGTCTGCAACGAGCAAAAAATCGGGCATTTTTGAATTGATCTAAAGCGCACAACTAAAACGACAGAACAACTCTGACAGCCAAATTGCAGTCTACTATCATCCAAGTAACCAAAACACTAATAATCATTTTGGGCCATTGAGACAGGAAGAAATTGGAAAACTCACATTTGTTATAGTTTCCAAGCTTTTTCTTGTAAACAGGCCGATCCCTTCGTGTTTGTTTTTAGTCCTCTTCGTGAATTTTCCTTCATATTTCGCTGTAAAGTATGTTCAGCAGCTGGAGAACATATCAAAAAGCTCGAAATACTGCCTAGGTTACATTTTCAAAGGGCAAAAAGTGCTGAACGATAGGATGAAACTAAAAAATAACAAAGCGACGCCATCTTGAAAATTCAGCACTCAGGAGGGACTGGCACTAGTAGCTGCGTTCGATATCTAACATAAGGACAAAAATTGCAAATTTTTCACGACTCAATTGTCTCGTAATTTCCAAAAGAGACTTGAGCACATAGAAAACCAAACCTAATACAGAAATGTAACCAGAAAGCCTCGGATTCATGTAAGAAGTTCCTTTATCGAACGTTGGCTATTACGAACTATTACCAGGAGCCTATGGGCTCCTGTAATTACCAGTAAGATAAAAAACAAAAAACAAACAAACCAGCTTATCAGCGACCTACTCCAGTCTTATTTCTTCTTCAGTTACTTCTTTTAGTTGAATTTAGCTTGTTTTTCTTTCAAAGGAAAAAACAAGAAGAACGCTTGATCGCAGGTTAATTGCTTCATTCCCTAGCCTCCTCATTTCGAGGTGTCCCGTGAATCTAGATATAAATATAAAAGATCTATTTTGTCTCTTCATGAATCACTTAACTTCGCTCTCATGGGAGCTAGCTAGACTTGCTATATATATCAACCTCGCGAGTTTCTAAGCGTGCGGCCTAACTACGGGCAGTAGATATTGCTTGCTGTAAAATTTGCAATAATTTTTATCACCTAAAATAAACAGTTGAATAAGCGTGCGGAGCGGGCATTTTAGGCCGCAAAGCGGCCAAGAGAGCGAACGAAGTAATTTTTGAAAGCCCGGGGGGAGGGGGGGGGGGGGACTCCGCATATGAAAGTGGTGGGGATGCTCGTCGTCTCGCTTAGGGGTGTAAATTTCGGATTTTGGTCTCATTTAGGGTGTTCTGGGCAAAACGCCATCATATTTAGCCGTGAAGGTCTCGTTTAGGGTAGCACGCGAAAAAAGATAAAAATATATCTTTGATATGTATATTTTTAATTCGTTTTATTTACGCCATTCATATCATCCAAGTTTTCTCATTTGTCTGTGTTTCAACATGGTCTCTTTTAGGGATCAAAAAAGGCTTGGGCCACGCCCAGATCGGTCTCCTTTAGGGGTTTAATTCAAAATTTCCGACGAGCATCCCCACCCCTTTCATATGCGTAGTCCCTCCCCCCGGTTTAAAAGTAAGCCTTCTAACTGATGATCTCATCGTTATCACTTCGCATTTCCATAAGGTAATAGAATGTTGACAAGAGCTGTCAAAATAAACCATTCAAAGGGTTTACCAGATCTGGTTTACCGGAAGGATCCCGAAGGAGCTTTTGTTGAAAGTACCATTACAGGGGTTCCTACGGCTGTCACTCCGTACCCCTTCCCCTCATTGTTTTTCCTGCTCACTTCTTTTTCAGTATGCTCTTTGCACGGTCCACACAAGCTAAACGCCACGGGTCCGGACGAATTTTTACCTGTGCAACCCGTTTAGAGGGAACGTGAAAATTCCCCATAGATTGCAATACTGTTTGCAGCTCAAAAACTTTACGGTTCCGTGGGTCGCATGTAAAGAATGTAAAGAAAAGGCGGATCCATGCAAGTTTTTGGCAGTTCAAAAATTTTTAATAGGAGTCTGAGTGTTAACTCGAGTTTTGACATCTTCTACATCTCTTCGTCACTGGATTTATATATATCATGGCTATGATATATATATATATATATATATATAGCCCCATCCCTGGAAAAGGTATCCAGTTACGGTCTACTACCCCGACTTATATGTATATGGCTCCTGGCAGAGTGTAAAAAAGTAATTTTGTGCAATTTTGCAGCGTAATTAGCGTTGCTAGATAACTCTGTCCGCCATCAGAAGCCCGTAAACCACAATATATAAAAATGTATAAGTAAAGACTACACATCAATATTAATATTAATAATTGTAAAAATTCTAGTATGAGCCATTAAAATTGTTGAATGACCTTCTTCTGTGAATCGACTCCGCCATTTCGAATTTTGTTCAAAAAAACCTCTGACCTAGCAGCCCGGCTGCATCTTGCGCCCATCATCTGCCCCCAAGGGGTGAGGATCTGGCTCCTTTTTCATAGGAAATTCATAAATTGTCTACTAAAACACTGTGCAATATGGAAGCAAGGCCAATTTAAGCACTAAAAACTGCTCAGATATCTCAGAATTGGAAGAAAACTAGTAGGAGAAATTGATCAGAAATTACGCAAAAAGTTGCTTGAAACGAAAAAAGTTGCTCGAAATACTATAAGTTGCCAAAAAGTTGGCGAGCAACTTGTGGAAAGCTCTAGGGAGAAGGGGGAGTGGGGGGAGGGGTGGGAGGCTACTCAATAAAGCTTTGTTCAGAGAGGCTTCGCCCCGAGGTCCAGTCCCTTACCCTTAAATATACTATTTTTGACAAAAGGTACTCCTTTCGTGTATCTTCCATTAAAAAGTTGTACCCTTTATATCTGCTTCGTGAGAATAAATCGGTAAGAAAGGAGGTCTTCCGGTCATTTTCGAGTAATCTTAACATGTAAATGATATTGCCATAAGGCGTGTTTCTTCGAAGCATTTTAATAATAGGCTCTTTAAAATACTTAATGAAAGATTTTCCTCTCCTTTCACATACTACAACTTGTGATTTCCTAGCTACCCTTTGATACACCTGATGCTTGAAAGAGGTACCCTTCGGGCGAAGCCTTCCGGACTATGAAACTGTGCATCAGGAAATCATGAGGAGATGAGTGGACCCTGGGACATGGACGGTGATTGAAGACTAACGCAAAAATAAATGATACAAAAAAGAGTCCAAAGAAACGCTAAGACTTGTATGGGATAACTCAAAATGAAGTGAATGAAGAGCAAATGAAGACTGAATAAAGTAATGCCAATTGGTCACCTGTTCACCACACCCCATCACTCCGCCGAAAAAAAAAACGACTACAATTTAACTAAAAGTAGAAAGAAGAAGAAGAAATAGGACTGTAATAGGTCGCTGATAAGCCGGTTTGATTGTTCCGTGGGATGCCTGTGGCACTCCCACGGTAAAAATCCGGTTCGGTTGTACCCAAAATTGCAAAGCCAGCCAATAGGATTGCCTAAAATCTTTATCGATTAATGCTTCTTCCAAGCCGACCAATCAGATTGTACAAAATCTGTATCGATTTTTAATCGATTTGCTTCCTCTGAAGAAAGTCGAATTGAGTTTTTCCACACGTGGTTTAGGATGGCTTGTTAACCAGGGAAATCCTTCGAGATACTGGTAAGTCACGAAAGGCGACCTAAGCCAAATTATTTCTTCCCTTCATGATTCTTTTTTATTTAGGTCTAGCTTTTTCATAAGATTTTAGTAGCGTCTGGTCGCGGGCCGTGATTT